CTAGATGCCTATCTAACCTCCTCTTGAAGACCCCCAGGGTAGGGGAGAGCACCACCTCCCTTGGGAGCCCATTCCAGACCTTGGCCACTCTAACTGTGAAGACGTTCTTCCTAATGTCCGGTCTAAATAAATAAATTAGTTCTTCCTAATGTCAGTCTGCAAGGCCAGGGTCCTTCCAGCTCTGAATAAGGGTTGGGCAATAAGTCCAGCAGTCCCCTGTCCCTCTGCTTGGCACTGAGAGCACTGCAAAGCAGTCACACTCTGCATGTACTTGGCTCCAATGTCTCCTTCTTCCTCTCTCCCACATCTGTGTGGGCTCCAGAGGGGCCAAGTAGGCAAGTATGGACACTTGGCAGCTCAGGGACAGACTGATCCTCTCCTCACTTTCCTGCTGGTGGCAGGCCAGTGTTGGTCAAGGGCTGCCCAGGCAGTGCAGATTCTGACCCCAGGGATGAGAGAGAGAGAGAGAGAGAGAAAGAGAGAGAGAGAGAGAGAGAGGTCTCTTCCCCTGCCTGTAACTCACTCAGGGAGCTTATGGCAGAGCCAGGGCTTGAACCTGAATCTTCAATGCCCCGTTCTGGTATCAGGGCCACACACACTTGTGCTCTAGCCTGTCAGGGAAGAGAGAATCTGTTTTCCAAGTGCTTTGGATGCCAAAATTAGACTGAAGGTGACGGGGAGCTGGCCTCCAAGTTACTTAGGTGACATGGGAGGGTGGTGGGGAGGATGACCAAGTGTTGGAATAACATGGGAGAGAGAGAGAGAATCTCTTTCTCTTGCAGAAGGGAGCATGCAAGGACCATCCTCTCCCAGCAACAGGCCTCTGTTCTCTCAAGTCAGCCTCTGGCCTCCATATTTTTAGAGACAGAGAGTTTTAGCTTTAAGCTCCTCCGAGCTCTGAAGACCTTGTGGGTCTATTGCCCCATTCCTGGGGACTTTAGTCCTGGGTGGCAGATGGGCATTTACCCTCTCTGCCTGCCCATTCTCTTTCCCCTACTTCTTCTCTCTGTCCTGGCACCCAGAGCCAAAAATAACCCCCATGGCTTAATTAGCCCAATCTGATTCACCTGGCAAGCTGATAAGACTATGCCAGGGGTGAATCGGGAGGTCCCTCCAGAATGTGGCCATGCCACTGTGGCTGTGCAGACTCCTCTGGACAGAAATCTTCTCTGGGTACATATTCTTGATCTTTTCACACTCAGGGAGAGGGAGAAATACTGGCAGAAAATTGTAGTGCAATGCAAGTTTCCTCATGAGAACTACTATAAGAACATCTCTGAAAGTGACATCATGCTGCTCAACGTACTGTCCATAAAGAGACACTGCTGGGGAAGGGTTGTACTCCTCTGCACGCAGCAGCTGTGGAACTCCCTCCCTAAAGCTAGCAAAGGGTTAGAGTCTGGTGGCTAAAGCACCTGCCCCTGGGAGCTGTGACTTGCGTTTGCTGTACCTGCTCTAGAAGGGGAGCGAGAACCAGTAATGGGTTAGAGCAGGTACCCTGGCAGTCAGGACCTGTAGGTGTTCTTCCCATCTGTAGGAAGGGGAAGAGGTAGTGAGCACCCCTTGATTTATCCCCGACTCTGGAAAGGGTTGAGGTCTGGGGAGCTGGGTACATCTGCCCAGAATCTATCCATAGTGGCTTACACAGATCAGTCAGGCATGTTTGGTCATACTAGTGGAGCTGACCACTTTTACTTTTGCTGCTGTCTTTGGCTAAAGACGCACTGTTCAGGGTCTTCACCTCTGCTGCAGCAGAGCTAGTAGATAACACCCAGAGGCCACCTGCAGCTTGTCAGAAAAGCAAAATGAGGAAAGAAAGTTAAATCAACTATTACTTAGCTGTCTTCCAGTGGGTCTTCCCAGGCTTTGTCTTCTGGTCACCTCTTATCTTTTAAAGGCTTTGCAGAACCTGTGGGCTTGTGCAAAAAACCCAAGCCAAACAGGCAGATAAGGAGACCTGCCCTCACCCCTCTTAGCAGCTGCTTTACCCCTGGTAACCCCAGGCTCCAGGCAGCCTGCTTCCTGCTGGGGCAGCCAGTTTGAGGCTGCTTTCAGGTCTTTCATTCTTCCCACTGCTGGTCCATGTGGCAGGCTTTTCCTCATTCCCCACACCTGTGTTAGTTCCCTTGCTGTATCCCAGGACCTGGATTCACTGCATCCCAGGACCTGGATCCTCAGCCTTTGGCGAGTCCTCATGCCCACCGCAGACCTGGAAGGAGGTGCTTCCACAGTCTGCAACTGCTTAGGCTCCATGGCACCCATAGTAACAGCCCTATTACAGTCTGCTTGTACTTGTCAGCACTTCCTGTGGATTTGAGGATTTGGTGTGGGCCAGCAGGAGCATGTGGATGCACATTGTCACAGGGTGGGGTCCCTAGGGATGGCCATGATGCCCCTAGGGGGTCCATGACTCTGCCAATCTTGCCCAACAGGCACCCTTTTCCTTGCCTGCCAGGTCTTGCTGGTAATTATAATAAATAGGGAGGCTGCCCTTGAGTTTATGTTTGGACATGGTCCTGATGGACCCCACTGAACCCTGTGGGTTCTTGGACCCCTTTTGGGTCCTGCTCAAAATGGATGCCTCACAAAACACCCTCAGACTTATGGGCTAGGTGCATGGCTTCAAAACCGTCCCCATCACAGGATGGGGTCCTCAAGAATGGCCGTGTTACCCTTAAGGCCCCTTGATCATGCCAATTCGGCCCAATGGGCACCCTCTATTCTTGCCTGCCACCTCTTGATGTATTTAGTAATATAGGGAGGCTGCCTTCATGTCCTGTTGGACATGGTCTTGATGGATTTCCCTGAATCCCATGGGTCCCATTTCAAAATAGGTGTCCTGGGATACCCCAGCCTTATGCGCTATATGCATGGCTCCAACCACCCCTTTACCATGCCCCAAGCCTCGCAGATGGCATTGATGTTGTTCAGTTTAGGCCTTGCTGTAATTTGGCACCCCCTTGTCCTCTGGGCTCTCCGTGGCCCTGTCTCTGCGCCCTCTCTGGCGCCGGGGCCTGTGCGCCCCAAATGCAGCGCCCTCTCTGGCACCAGGGTCTCCATGCTGCAGTTGGTCACCAATGAGGCCGCCTCCTTCCCTAAATAGCCTCACCCAAACCACTGGTCTTATACAACAGCAGACAAAACACAAGCCCCTTGGCTATAACATAATACAAAAGATCAGGGTGTGTTCTGACCCTTTAGAAGGATCAGGTTTCATCCCTGGCACTAAGTGTCTAGTAGGCAAGGGTACCTGTAGAGCTCATGGAGCCCCCTTAGCTGTAGGTGCAGCATACCAGGCAGTCGCAGCATCACTGGGCACTTCCTCCCTGGAGGCTTCTTTCCCTCTGGCTGCTACCAGGAACTGTGTTCCTGGTCTCAGCCCTGGGGTTTATATGTGAGCCAGGCCCTGCCCCTTCCGGTCAGCTGACTGCTGGCAGGTATGGGCCACTAGCTCATTCTGGCAGCCCTGGTAACCAGCAGCTGGGACTCCCCACTCACTGCTAGGGCTCTCTCCCTAGCAGTTTCAGCCTTTTAAAGGAGCAGGGCACTTAAGTGCTCTGTGACAGTCCCTTTACCATGCCCCAAGCCTCACAGATCACATTCAAACATTGTCCCTCTGAGGCCTTAGTCTAGCTCAACCCCCTGGCACCAGCGTCTGCTTACTGTTGTGGGCCCCAGTGAGGTCTCCTCCTCCCCAGTAGCTTCAGCCTGATCCACCAGTTTATAAACAACAACCAAAATATGAGCCCCTGGGCTATAACATAACACAACCAGTTCAGGGTGCACGCTATCCCTTTAAAGGAGTCAAACTTCCCACCAAGCCTTAAGTGCCTTGTAGCCCAGGGTACCTGGTGAGCTCCCAGAGACCCATTAGTCCTATAGACAGCATATCAGGCGGCTGCAGCACCTCTAGGCAATTCTTCTCTGGAGGCTCCTTCCCACGGCTGCTGCCAGAGAACTAATCCCTGCTGCTCTCAGCCTTGGGATTTGTGTGTGCCCAAGGCCTTGCCTGCTTCCAGTCAGCTGACTGGGTGCAGGTTCAAACCAATTCCCTCCTTAGCCTGCTGCCACAGTAACCTACACCTGTGGGGTTTCTGTCTGGCTCCTAGGGTCCTCTCCCTAGGCAGTTTTTGCTCTTAAAGCAGCAGGCACCTTATTGCCCTGCGACACATGCTCAGAAGCATCCCAGTGAGGATATGTCAAATGGGCAGGGCAGACTGGCCTTTATACCAGGCAGAGGGAGCTAGGCACCAGAACACCTGGGCTCCAGTCCCAGGTCTGTTACTGGCTCCCTGTGGGTGACTGTGTGCAAGTTCTTCCCCAGCTATGCCTTACTATCTCCCTTAATTACACAGGGACTTTCCAAGGTCCATTAATAAGCCGCTGAAAGCTCTGGAGAGAGTGTGCCAGCAAAGGACAAAGTCTCTCCATCAGTTTCTTTCTAGCTGCAATTACCACCCATCAGAGGGCATGATGGGTGGTAATTGGTCCCTCTGTTCTCTTTATGGATGCTGGCATGCAGAGCTAAAATAACAAGGGCCGTGAAGCTCATCCGTCTGCCCCAAGCTGAGGATGTAATGAAACCAGGCACCACATGCAGTGTGGCCGGCTGGGGATTGACTGGAGTACACAGGTCCCAGAAAACCAAGGTGCTCCGAGAGGTGGAGTTGCAGATGGCCAACAAGTAGCAGTGTAAGAGCTTAAATCCCTTTTTCCACTCCACTTTGATGATCTGTATGGGGGACAGCAGAAACGAGGAGTCACCTTTCCAGGTAACTCTTTCAGCACCAACCCTGCTTCCTAGAGTGCAGCTCTCCCTTATGCTATGCTGAACACAGTACTGAAGTACTAAGGCATTGGTTGTTGGCTGCAGCCAAGGCTGGGGACTTTGACTGGGCTGTGCCAATGCTCCTGCTGGGACTTGAACCCAGAGGTTCCTGGCTAGGGGATCTTCCCCTTTGCTCCTGGTCAACCTGATTGTCATATCTGGGCTCAGAAAGGAATTTTACCCCGTGGTCAGATTGGCGTGGACTGGGGGTGGTTTTTTCCTTCCTCTGTAGTAGGGGCATGGCCCTCTACCTGGGATCTCTCAAGCACTTTTTAACAGTAGCAGGACCTTGGCCACTATGGTCCCCTTGCATTACCTGTAGCAGGTTCGGGTGTTATGTCTTGTGTTGAGTCAGGTGTTATGCCTTGTACTGTTGTGCTAAGAGGTTAGACAGTGGATACACTTAGGATGGTTTGGAGAGGGATGAACCTGCCTCAGGCAGGAGTTGGACTAGGTGACCTCTGGAGGTCCTGTCCAGCCCAACGTCTCTAGGATTTTACAACTCCATGATTCTTTTCTCTACTTTTTCTAGGGGGATTCCAGGGGGTCTCTGGTGTGCAACAGAATAGTCCAGGCTATCGTGTCCCATGGAAATGTCTGTGGCATTCCTACTACTATCTATACTTGTGTCTCAGCCTACATCCCTTGGATAATGAGGAACATGGGTGAGGAATAATTCAGGGGAGATAACAGAGGGAGGCTGGCTGTAAGCTGCTCTACTGCCCTCAGTGGCCTGGGATATTCCTCTCAGAGCTGGGGGGGTCTCAACTCTGTCCTGAGGATTTTGAGATGTTCCCTGATACTTGCCATTGTTACATCTCAACAGGATGGGGATACCCTGACCTAGTCTCTATTCTCTTCCCTTCCCCCTTGATGGGAAGGACTCAACATCCCTTTCCCTGAGGGTTCTGTACAACCAATGTCTCCTCCCTCTAGGGCTATATTCCAGGCAGCTACACAGAGAGGAAGACCCCGTCCCCCATTACCCAGCTCTCCTGAGCTAGCCAGACCTTCTCCTAGATTGAAGCTGGTGCCCTCCAGAGAGGAAAGGTCCTAGGTGCCATTCTCTTCTCTTTTGCCTCTTCATTTCCAGTGTGAAACCTTTCTCTGGCTTGCATTGGTGAAATCCTGCAACATGCTCTTCTCTGCAATAAATGGGTTTAAGCAGCAGTTGCCTTGAGTCCTGTGCCAAGCAGTTGCCTTGAGTCCAGTACCATGGTTTTAGGTATGGAAATCCATTTCTCATTCTGGGCTCCCTGACATCCTCAGGATCTGACCAGGTACTGCCATCCAGGATACAGACGCTCCCATACCCTTTTCCTTGCCCATTCACTGGTCTCATCCAGTGATAATTCACAGGAAGCCCCAGCTTGGATCAGGACTAAGGTCCAGCCATTGTAGGGTCTTGGGTCTAGAATTGCAGCACCCGCTGCAGTAATTCTGTGGATATGCAAGCCTCACATTAAGAATTGTGTGGCACCTGAGTCACTGGGCAATGCATAGAGGAGATGTTTCGGGACACGGGATAACTTGAGAGTGGAGGGCCTCTTAGAAGGGCAAAACCCACAATGTTCAGGGATTCATGTTTTTCTGCCTGTATTATCTCTGGGGTGGCTGTATTTTCCTTCAGGGGGCCAAGCTCCCTGCATATAGCATGGAGTTGGTCAGGAGAAGACGTGATTATTTGTGTCTGGGTCTGCATTTGTCTCACAGATACCATCAGTCCCTCTGGTGCCATCACCCTGAGTGCTTGGGCTCTCCCATTAAGCCCATTTAGTCTTTGCTTAGGACAAGAGGTGACACAGGGCCTATCATTAGTGGGCTCAGGCCCACATAGGTGTATGTGTTTTTGCCCCAAGTCCCGGAGGTCAGTGAGATCCAACTCCACATGCCATGCAGGGAGGGTGACCAACCCCAATCTCACACAGGTGCTCAACAGCTCACAGGACTGAGGAAGTAAGCAACATCTGTTTGGCCTTCCCAACTGTGGGGAGCTGGCTGGACACTGGACCCAAGCAGGGGGCCTGGTCTGGCTCTGAGGAGGAGAATGAGGTATAGGCTCCCTGACACCAAAGTGTTTTTCAGAGACAAAATGGCAGTGGAGATCTTTGTCACGGGATCAGTGCTTGTTCCTGGGAGACTTGGGGTGGGAAGTTCTTTCTTGGGATTCCCCAAGCAGCAGCCTTGTCTGGTCTCCCTGTCCTGAGAGGACCTTCCTGAAACCAACCTTGGCATGTCCTCACGAGGGCAAGGCCCTGGCTTTGAGACCCTGGCTCTTCCTTCCCCTTGGTGATCTGTAGCACCTCTGCCTGGGGAGGAAGTGGGTGTGGGTGTGAGGTCTTTTTTAAAGAGGAGGTTGTCAGAGTGCCAACATCCTGAACAGCACAGCCGCTCTGCTTGGCTTCAGACAACCAGTGTTACTAGCCTCACTTATTCTCCTTGGGCCCCAGTCAGCCACACTTGCAACAACACACATACAAAACAATAGTATTAACCTGGGGACACCACCTACCTGATATAGTGAAATACAAGGTCATGGGGAACTGATCTCTGGGCACTGGGATCAGGCCCAGACTGCCATCTCTCCCCACAGGGAACTGCTTATAAGACTGTTTACAGCAATTACTGCTGTTACTATGGGGAAGTTTAGGTTAAATATTAGGAAAAATTCTCTCACTAGGAGGGCAGTAAAACCCTGGAACAGGTTACCAGGAGAGGTGGTGGAATCCCCATCCTTGGAGGTTTTTAAAAGCCGTCTAGACAAAGCTTTGGCTGGGATGATCTATAAGATCCTGTTGTGTGTGTGGGGTGGGACGAGATGTGACCTCCTGAGGTCTCTTCCAACCATCATTTTCTGTGATTCTATGAATTATTTGACACTAAGATATGCTCACACTGAGCTCCCCCGACCCTCTACCCAGTTGTTCCCCACAAGATCTACAAGCTACAGCTCAAACCACACGACCTTTCCCATCACAATCTTCATCTTCAAGTTTCCAGTGTCTCTAAGCAAAGTGCTGTCCACAGTCACCCAGGCGGTCTGTTGAGAAAGAACTAAGAGCTGTGTTCTCACTCAGGCTCAGAGGGTCGGTTTAACCACAGCTCTTGCCTATAGCCCCAAGTGGGGGAGAGGGAGCTGAGGCCCTACTGTTAGTAAGTCAGTCAGCTCTTCACAGATGAGGAGGGTGTCCAAGCTAGTCACACTTGCATGGTGCTGATTACACCAGTTTTGTGTGTCCTCTGCCCATGCCTTCATGGAGCCCTATCTTGAGGTCACTGGCTCAGGCATAAGTGTCTCAGTCTTGTATGTGTAGACATGCAAGCTGGATGTTCCCAGGTCCTGTACCAAAAATTCAATGGGGCAGCTGCCTTATATGGGCCACATCTTCAGCTGTTGTAGATTGTCCTGGAGTCCCAGAGAGCAACATGTGATTTGCACCAAGGGGGATCTAACCAAGCTGACTCCAATTCACACAAGTGAGGACTTCAGGCCCAGGGCAGTCAGACCAGCTGGCTTGAGGTGGAAGGAACTGGACACACTGTCCTTTGGTCTTCAACAGGCCATTTCTGAAAATCCTGCTGTCACAGATGCCTTGAGACGGTGACGTCTGAGCTCCAGTGTGTGGCCCCAGTTCTCACTAGATACTGAGATGAGTCTGGGTTAACCACAGTCCCTGCTGCACTAGCACTGAGCTGGGGAGAGAGCTGAGTGAGTTGTGTTGGCTACTAAGTCCCCTTGCCCCCCAGCTCAGCTCTGGATGTGCAGGGTACTCAGGTATGGGCAGTGGAGGATGTGGTCTTTACACCTGCTCTCTGCAGGGTGGGGTTTCCAGGACAGAGAAGGCTGTACCTAGGCCTGGTGTGTGGGGATGCCCTATGGAGGTTTCCTGTCTCAACACAGCCTGCTCTCTGTAAAAACTCACAAAGGAGAAACATTGTTTACTGCTCAAGTCAGGCTGCGGTGATGCTTCTGCTCGTGCTTCTTGTGAGCTCGCTCCTGCCCAGTGAGGCTCTGGCTGGTGAGTGCAGGGAAGGGAGAGAGTTTTTTCCCCCAGCCTCACAGGTAGTTGACCCCAGACCCTTCAAGGAGCTGGACAGGGAGGTAGATTTAAATGTAAATCTGGTCCCCGGGACTCAGAGCTCATAAGAGATGAGAGGTGTGTGGGTGGGCATGCATTTCTCAGGTTGAGGGTACCAAGAGGAACATTTCCAGGGGCTCAGCTCAGGGGCAGGATTTGGGGCTGTTGCCGGGGACAAGGAGGTCTGACTAGTCAGAGCTGTGGTCAGAGATATTTAGGGAGGTAGGAGATTGTGGACTTCTATTTCCTGACTTTGTGTCTGCCTGGGGTGGTGAATTCCCAGGGGAAATCATTGGTGGACAGGAAGCCAAGCCTCACTCCAGACCATACATGGTCTTTGTGGAGATACATGGAAGGCCAGGGAAGTCTTTCACATGTGGAAGGTTCCTGGTGCAAGAGGATTTCGTCTTGAGAGCTACACACTGTGACCCTGATGGGTGAGATTCTTTCTGTACTCCCAGGCAGCAGCTGGACCTATCTGTAAAGCCAGGGTCCTTCCAGCTCTGAGTCAGGGTTGGGCAATGAGCCCGGCAGTTCCCCTGCTTGGCACTGAGAGCACTGCAGAGCAGTCACACTCTGCACATACTTGGCTCCAATGTCACCTCCTTCCTTCATCCATGACCTCTGTATTAGATCCAGAGGGGCCACCTGGGCAGGTGTGGACACGTGGCTGTTAGGGGACAGACTGACCTTCCCATGACTTTCCTGGTCACGGTGGCCTGTTGGGAAAGCACTGCCCTAGGCAGGATAATTTCTGACCCCTGGGATATGTGAGGGAGAC